CTAAAAATAACTTAAAAATAAGACACAGTCATACAATGTGATGAAAAAACCACCAAAGCTGGTGGGTAATGGTTAATATCAATATTAAACTTGCAAACCATTATTTTAAATAATGAAGGATAGAGGTGTTAAAAATTAACCTCAGCATATGGGTTTAGAAAAAGGAAATTATTCTATTTTGATTGTTTAAGGAAAAGAAGGAAAATAAAGATATTTAATGGAAATTTAAATGATCACATTAATAATAAATGATCTGTGGATAAATTTCAAAATTTTAAGAGGAAGCTTCTCTAATCAACAACAACAACAAAAAATAATTTTCATTTTTCTCCATCCCTTTGTTTGTTTACTTTTACAAAATGGGAAACGTTTTACATATAATTAATATATAACACAGACATTATTAGCTTGTAAATTTATCTATTTTTTGGGTTTTTTTTAAAAAAGAATTGTTAAAATTTCTTTTTGTGCTGATTCATATTTTAAGTAGATATCTATTAAAATATCCGTAAAATTTTATCCCATAACGAAACACAACTCTAACAGCCAGTTTCTGTGACAGTCATCATGCATTCAAAAAGACATTTAAAACTATTCAGCTAGTATCCATTACTTGTGGAGTGTTTAATTAATCTAAGCAGTCAAATCTTAAGCATCAAAATTTAATTTAAAATGCTGGACATTGTTGGTGAAAGCAGGTAAAGAAAACATTAAGAGGACTTGGTAACCCCAAAATGACCAAACTATCGTTTTTTTAAATTTTTTTATCATTTTTTATATTTTATCGTTTTGGTTTTACCATTATTATCTTTCGATTGATACATCACTTGTGCAAATCGGAAAGTTAGAAATAGAATAAATCTTCATTTGAAAACAAATAAGGCAATTCGGTCACGCTCCCTTTTTAGAAAAAGAATTAAAAGCGTTATGATAAAAATCTATTTTATAAAGGGAAATAATAATTATAAAAACGAATGTGTGATATATAAAGCAGAATATTTCCGAGGCAATACAATATTGTAAATTTTCTTCTTTGTGAAATGCGTGCATGTAAAATTTTTGAATTAAGGCATTTTATTTTAATTTTCATAATTTCAGTTCTTATTCCTGATATGTTTCATACAAATGCAATACTGCAATATATGTGAAGAAAAAAAAACTAAACTTTGTCGTGTCGGAAATAAATTTTTTTAAACATTTTTCTTGAATTTTTATTGTGCAATTAACACCTTCTTAATATTGATCTTTTATAAAAATGTATGGGTTGAAAAATACGAAAATGCAATTACTTTCAAGAAAAATATACAACTTATATCTTAAAGTGGTATTTTAAGTTTATTTAAGCTATTATAATTATTTTTTCAGAATTATGAACTTTAAAGTGGTTTTTCTCTTTTTGTGTTTCTCGAAACAGTACATTCAAAATGCTACTCCTTCCGCAACTAGTGACCAATCACTTCCATTTTTTCCCCGTGTGTCGCATATAAAGCATTTAACAAAGTTAGGGATCCATTTTGCTGTAAACTGAATAATTTTTTTTAAAAAAAAGTTAAAATGTAAGAGATATTGGCTTTTTCATTGATTTTTAGCATGCATATCAACATTTTATTTTTCTTCCCAAAAACGAATTAAGTTATTGTAAAATAGATTCCTAAAGTTTATAACATCTATAAGAACATTAGAAAAAAAATTCCAGGTCAAAAAATTAATAATTATAAAAGGAGTATAATTTTAAAATTTTCTTCAAAAAATTTTAATTTTTAAAATTGTGTGAATAATATGTGAAAATTTTCATCTCGTATCATTTTTTTCAATAGAAACGTTATATAAAATGTAATTTTTAAATACATAAAGATAGAAAGTAGTCCACAGGGTACCAAGTCCTCTTAACTCTCTGGCATAACGTTGACTCACTTAAAGCTATCAAGGCTCTGGTTTCCCGCCGTTTTAAACTCGTAAACGTAACGTTAATCTTATAGAAATTCTACTTTTCTCTGAAATTATATTTTCTCTCCGAATTCTGAAAACAATTCTTTAAGCTCACAAATTTATATATGTAAAAAGCATAAAAATATATTAATAAATTGGAAGGAAAACGTTTTTCTAGAGGAAACATTATTTATGCTCTTTGTCTCTGTGTATGCACTATTCTAATCTATTAACTAGTCTAGATTTGTCTAGAAAAGTCCAATTTCCATAGAATTCTTGTCCATGAATTCAATAGGATCTGTTGGCTGCAGACTTAATGTAGAAACTTAACAATTAATTTTTGTTATAAATGCTCATGATAGTTCATGATGTTGTAAGACTATATATAACTGAAAGAGATTTTAAGCTTTTGATACCTAAGTACTAGCATGAAGTATTAAAAAAAGTTTCTTAAAGTCTTCGCTCTTTGATTTCAAAAGGACAGGACTTGAAAACAGATATACAGCCGAACCTCTATATAACTAACTTCTATATTGCGAATTTTTCTATGTAGCGAAATTTTCCTGGAACCTTGAACATTTCACGATTTTCTTCGTGATGTCACCTCTCTATAGGGAAGTGAATTTTCTATACAACGAACTTTTTCTTTTGAGATTAAATTTTTCGTTCTCTCTTCTTTTAAAGTATTTCTGAAAAAATTCCAAATTCTCTCTTTAACACATTTTATGGCGGTCACAAATCTTGAACTGGTTTTTATTGGATCCCAATTCGCCGAGAGCAATAGAGTTCTAGACGTTTCATCCAAGAAGAGCAACCCTTAACCTAGAAACATCTTCGATATCCTCTTTTATCCTCATTGGAGTTGTGTCGTGTCCCCGTGTTAAAATTATAAAATAATGTGTGTTTAACATTACTTGTTTGCTTTAAATTATAAAATGTCCTTAAAATTCATTAATTTTAGCATGCAATTATTTTCTTAGTATTGAAAATACAGTGATTTCTTCGACATTCTTTTTTCTTGTTTTCCTGCAGTTTTAATTTCTTTCATTCTTTTTAAGGGTAAGATATACAAAATAAACATATGTTAATTAAAAAAAAAAGGGGTGAATAATTACTTTTTTAATACATAGTGTTTATGAATTTAAAATTTGTTTTATTTGGTTTATAAAGTATATTAAAAGATGAACTTCTATCTACCGAATTTTCCATACAACGAACTTTTTTACGGGATTTATGACTATATGACTTCGTTATATAGAGGTCCGACTGCATTTATTCTTTTCGCCCAGAAGCCTCTCATGGAAATCAATTTCCGAAAAACCTCTTTTTAGCGGGTTTCTACTCCTCAACAAAAGTAGCATTCTTACCAAATTTCATATATGTTGGTCTAAAAGTTCCGGAATTTATGAATGAGTGTTTCTCTCCTTTTTCAAACTCTACTGTTAGTTCAGTCTCCCTATATACACTGCTGGCCACCGTAAATGCAACACCAAGAAAGACAAGAGATAGCTCAGCAAAATTTATTTTGTAGATAACATGTTGACCAAATATCAAATGATTAAATTTATAGACTTCTGTGAAGTGTGGTTCCTGCCAGAATCAGTTGCCAGAGTAGACGCCATTGTTGGAGATCACCGCTGCCACACGCCTCAGAATTGTTTCAAAGGAACTTTGGATGGGCTCTTGGGGTACAGCGGACCAAGCAGCTTCCACACGTTGCCAAAGTGGATCTGGTGTGGCAGCTGAGGGTGTAATCTGGGTCACAATCGTTGAGCAACCATAGACCACATGTTTTCTATCGGTGAAAGATCCGGTGAGCACGCCAGCCAGGGAAGCAATTCAATCTGTTGATTGACGAAGAACCTTTGGATAATGCGTGCCACGGGTGGTCGCGCATTATCCTGTTGAAATATGGCTGTGGTCAAGTCCTGAAGATAAGGAAAGACAACTGGCTCCAACACCTTGGAGATGTAGCGCTGTCTGTTTCAAGTACCGGCAATGCGTACTAGAGGAGTGCGAGAGTGATATCCAATACCGTCCCATACCATAATACCCGGTGCAGGACCAGTGTGGCGGTGCATAACGCAGCTGTTCAGCATCCCTCTACCCACGGTGTCTCCAGACTCGAATCCGACCATCGTGGTGTTGCAGACAGATGCGTGACTCGTCAGTAAAGACAGCTTCATTCCATTCTGCCACCCACATCCTTTTTTCATCGCACCATTGGCGCGGAGACGTCTGTGGTTCTGCGTCAAGGGTAGACCAAGCATTGAACGTCTTGCGGACAGACCACTCTGCTGTAAATGGCGTCGAATGGTACGCGCATACACTGAATGATGCGTTACAGACTCAATGTGCTGTGCTATGGTTCGTGATGTGACTGAGTGATCTGTCACTGCCATGCGCACAATTTACCTGTCATCGCGTGAAGTAGTGCCCTGAGGTGGATGCGATCGATCACGTCTGTACGTCGTACCTTCTTGCATCCAACGGTCACATATCCGCATTACAGTTGTTTGGTTTCGTCCAACACGACTACCGATTTTCCTGAAAGATAATCCACAATATCTCGGTAGGCCATTAGCCCTTCCTCTGTCGAACTCGGATACTTGATCAAAAGCTGATCTCTGTTTTCTACGAGACATAACTGATCGTTTTGTGAAAAAACCACAAGAAAAACACAATTGCCGAACTTGAAATCGTCAAAATCTCCAAGCCTTAAATAGCGCTTCGCCACAGGCGAGCGTGATGTGTGTCTGCGCTGAAATTCTAATCATTTGCATATCTCACCTCCGCTAATAGATTTTGTCAATTTCATGTTATTTGCATGCTTCCTTCAGGATATTGTATTTACGGTGGCCAGCAGTGTATATATATCTTGTTCAAATTTTCAACCGTTAATAAAATGCTTTCTATTCATGCATTAAAGTTCAAATACATTTTTTTAGTGGATGGCACTTGACGATAATACAGTTTCTTCAAATATTAATTCATTAGTTAAACTTAATTAATAAATAACAAACAAAAGTAATAGTCCAACACCATACTTAAAAACGAAAATCCATCGTTGTGTCTCTGTAGCACAATGGATAGTTCGTTGCATTTCTAATCCAAGGGTTGTAGGTCCGAATCCTACCTGGAATGTCCTAATTTCTGAGAATGTAGTTTATGAATGAATAAATAGTAACAAACCAAAGTATTAGTAAACACCATACATAGAAAAGGAAAATCGTTTTCTATTTTGCCATTTAATATTGTGATTCTGTCACATGTATATACATATTTATATTGTAATTTTTAATAAAAAGTAACTAAAATAAAAATTTTTTTCGTTGACCTAAGTAGGAATTGACTTCCATTTTTCTTTATATTTTTATATATATCACACTGGTCTGATTGAATTTTTACTATATGAAATGATTTTTCTTTAAAATTTAAAACCTAAGTAAAATATATTCATTGATAAGTAACTCAATAAAAATAACAGTAGCAATATCTTACGGTCTGAATTCTCCAACTACTTAACTAATATTTTCGCCTTCTTTCAAATTACTGATGCAATTATGGAATTATTTTCTCATGCGAATTTCAAGCAAAACGCTTGATAAGTATGATTAGTAAGATTTTGAATCTATATATAACAAAAACATTTGTATCTCCAATATAAGAATGATTGAGAACTTCGGAATTATTTGTAATATTAGAATAAATTTATTGCAAAAGAAGATTCACGACCTGGAAGGGAAAGTAAGAATAGGAATAACAATTAACCCCAATTTCCATTCTAACATTCTATTTGAAATAAAGAAAAAGACGCATGCTAATTCGGTCTAATGCTCAAATTGGTTCTATTGTCAGACTAAATTCCTATCCACTATCGATACTCTTTAGCGAAATGAGCATCCAATCCGAGTGAACGAGATTACAAAACAAAGAAACGAATTCTTTTTCCCGCCATTGTTTTTATTTTCCTTCGTAATTGAATTTACGTGCGTGTTTTCTTTGATCCAACGCAAGTGCTTAGTAGAATTGGAATGCATTGGGGGAGTACGAAATAATAAATAATAAAAGCACTGTTTTTACAAGCATTTATCTAAATTGAGTTTTCTTCCAATACAATTATTTGTAACGTCGTTATTTATCTTTTAATTCTTCGGGAAAGTTTTAACGAATTCTATTTGCTCTTTGATGCATAATACTACTGATGATTAAAAGTTTACTACATTTAAATTTGCTGCAACGAATGATCTCTGGAAACTAAAATCGTATCATAGGAAATTATATTACACATTTATGTTTGAAATAAATATTTTAACAAACCAATAATTGCTTCTACAAATGGTTAGCAATAAGTAAGTTATTCTCAAACCAAAACTAGTTGAGATTATAATAAATCTTACACTATAATACATACACTTGCTAGAAATGTCTGCGTTCACGTACTATTGCTTACATGAAGAACGGAACAAAATTTTAAAAACTGGAATTTGAAAAAATATTTTAAACTTCATTTTGTTCATCTTAAGTATTCAGAATAACAAAGTAAATTTGTTTTGTTTCATAGCTTTTAAAATAAAGACAGATTTGTAGCGATAGTAACAAAAATCAAGTTGAAAAGTCTGCGTTCACTGTTTTAATAGTAACTATAAAAATTATTTATAAAGAGGATAATGAACTATTTATTAGCTGTTTAGTTAACCTTTTCTTTTGAGAACCTCCTGGAATCGTTTCGGCGTTGAACTAAGAAATCTTGTAGTTTCTTCTGCTCTTATCTTCTCCCATTGATCCTTAAGAACACTCTTCAGCATATCCTTGCTAGATATATCGTGTTGACAAATCCTATGCTCCAGCAAGTCTCATAAATGTTTTATAGGATTCAGATCAGATGACTGCGGGTGTATGTGCAGTTAATTTGGGACATTACAAGAGCCAAAGCTTCATAATCTCATCGATGTGCTTCGGATCGTTGTCATGTTGGAAACGAAACGATGATCCTAAGCCGAGTTTGGTGGCACTTTCCTTTAAATGGTTTTTCAGGACATCAAAGTAATCATATTTGTTCATAATTGTTTCTATATACTCCAACTTGCCAACACCGTTGCTCGCCATTCACCCCCACACCATGGCTCCACCACCACCGTGCTTTACCGTTGGTACTAAATGGTCTTTTTGAAGCGCTGTGCAAGGGGTTTTTTTTGTACCAATTTACGACCTTTTATAATGAAGATGCAAAATTTGCTCTAATCAAAGAATGTAACAGTCCTCCAGAACACAGGAGGCTTATGTATATGCTCTTTTGCAAAAGCTATCCGCTTCAGCCTGTTGGTCATTGGAATACAAAGCTTTCTGTGACCCATTCGGGTACAGTTTCAAGCCTTTTAAGATTCTTCTTGCAATAACCACCCAAATGTTTTTGTTAAACTTCTAGTGGATGTTTGTTGTTATTTAAGTTGCTGTTATTAAGTTGCTTTTGTTTTTAAAGTTTTTCTTCATCATTTATATCATATATCGTTTTTCTCTGATTGTGAGTTTAGATGGATGACCTAAATGAGGTTTGGATATGTAAACTCTTGTATATTTAGAATTATAAATAACACGCCGGATAGATTAATACTGCTGTTCGACGGACCTGGCTATATCCGGACGGCTTTTTGCAACTTTCTACGTTTTCACAGTGATTTTACGCTCACTGATACTAATTTCCTCCCCCTTGAATTGCTTTGTATTTCACAAAAACTTAAAGTTATTGCATCACAACTTTTTAAAGCTATTTTACTTGATAACTGAATTCAAAAACTCTGTTAATCTATAACACCTGTTGATAAAAACTCCAGGAATTAAGAATATTCAAATAGTGAACGCAGACTTTTTCTGCCTACTATTTGTGTACTTTGCTACAAAACTCCCGCTATCTTAAGTAGTTTTAATACAAAATTAACGAATTCATGCATGTTCAATATTTAAATAATAATAAAAAATTCTCATGAAACTTTGCTAGGAAAAAAATATTTCTATTAAATTTTACCTTTGTTGTATGATTTATTATCGGTGAACGCAGACTTTTTCTAGCAATTGTAAGCATACTAGCTGACTCAGCCACGCGTTGCTGTGACTTTGTTTAATACGCTGATTTAATATTATTCTAAGCAATCAAGATTTTATATTAGCAGTCAAATTAATCTTCGTTTTCATACCCGGAGACTACCGCCCAGCCAGTATGATGGATATGACCCTCGGCCTATAACCGAGTGGGTTCTGGTTCGAAACCAGAGTAAGGCATGATTTTATCTTCGGGAGAAGAAGTCGGACTTTCGCCTGTAATGGAAAGCAACGCACTCCTTATGTTATATGCTGGGATAATCATGTATGTAATAAATGTTTACATTCTTCTGTTTTCATTGTATGTTTCTGTTCTTCTACTCGCATTTTATATGTATCCCAAGATAAAAACAGGTGACAACGACATCATATACGGAGACTTGAAATTAAATACAAAGCAACACAATGACTTAAATTTTGATTTTTGTTTATATTCTATTTGAGTATAGTATAATGCATGAATTATTGATAATGTTAGGTAACGACATACGAAGATTTAATTGTATAATTGTAGTAAATAACATTGATTTTTTAAAAAAAATTTTACACTATTTTTATTATTTTAATGTATAACAATAAATAATTTTACTATAACTAATCTTTGATCAGTGTACAATATTTATTGGTAACCCGTCTTTTGCTAACTCAAATACATTCACGATTGTTTTTTCCATACGTGAGCATGCAACAAATAGTTGTCCATTTGAGAAAAAGGGACACAAGTTCACAAGCATCAAATGAACACTGTTTGGCTTTGAGATTCATTTTTGATCATCGCGAAAACCAAATGAATCGAGATTTGAAGCCTTTGGGATAATATTGGAGATTCTGAAGGTATCAGTGGAATACGTGGCAACAAAACAGATTTCTCCTTTCAACTTTGCAGTCAAAATGTTTGCTTCAAAAAAGTTTTCTGGCAATTCTCTTTTGAGGATCAAGCAACGTGTACCGTTGAAAAATCTAGGTGAATTTAAGTTACGAAGAAGAATAACTAATGGACCAATCTTCAGCTGATGATTGTGATGTGGCATTCTTGATATATCCAGGAATATAAAAACTCAGTTGGAAAATTTATGGTTTTGTTTTCATCAATAATAGTGTCGAATAGTGTCGATTGATTTAAAAAGCATTGGATCACCTGGCACTGACAGTTTATTTCGTCACTATGTGAAGTTTTTTTTGATTATGTAACAGGATTACAGAGCCAATAATAATCTAAATAATTATACATTTTATCCGAAAAGAAACTATCGATCAGTTCCTTTTTGTCTGAACAATAGTACAGAAATTGCCTGACTATTTGATAATATATGTTTTGGGATGAAATTCCGCCGTTCCCAGTATCCAGCAGTTGGTTGGAAAATATTTGCTCCGATTTATCATTTTGCAAATGTTCTCGCGTGTTTATGGTCAATCAAAATGTATCTTCGTTTTGCCATCAAAACGATTGTTTTAAAGAAGCGTTAATCTCGTGACCGAAAGTAGAGAGAGGAATGACTAAATAATGACTGTCGGAAATTATTTCTCGGAATATTTTCTCGTTGCCGTTTAATTACTTCAAAGTTTTATGTAATTCTTTGAGGGAATGTTTAAGGGCAATGGTACACTTATCCCTGATTATGTTTAAACTCCTTCACAGTAATGTTGCCAATAAGCTTTTTTTCAATGGTACACATTGCACCTGGTTCCTTAAGAATGTCTCATGACAGCTTGAATGCGGAATGTGCAGTTTGTCCACCATCAAACAAAGTGACAACAATGCCTGAAGATGCAATTTCCTATTTCAATCGCATTTTTGAAAGGCTGCGACTGCTAGTTTAGTTGCTATAGGGAATGAAAATCTGGAGGCGGAACTCGAACGCACAGCCATTCGTCCTCCTTCCGGCAATACCCATAAAAGTTACAGGAGTTCCTGAATAAATTACAGGAATTTGAAATCCGAATCCAGATTCTCGTTCCCCACCCTGAGACACACCCGGTGCTCACTTTCGACGCCCCTGCTTCTGCAATATCTGTTCCTGAAGGAAGGAATTACAGTCGTCCGG